TGCAGTGCAGTAACCACATAGTAATGCTGGGCTGGAATCTCCAACCCAGCCCCACATTCCTGCCTCAGCTCCAGTCCCTTTGTGCTGTCACCAGGCATTGCAGTTGTCTGGAAATGCACTAAGAGGGAGACACAGGAATTTCTGGAGGGCTGTGGGTTGCATCCCAGGGATGTATAACTTGAGGAGAAATTTCCTTTCCACAAGATTTAGTGGAAGTGGAGGAGAGGGGGAACAGGACAGGCAGGTCCCTGACCTCTCCCTTTCTCATCCTTCAGGGATGTTTTAGGGCCATTTTAATCCATCCCAGCTGGACCCTGATCACTGACATGGCTCTAAATCCAGGGATTTACTCCCAGAGCTACAGGACTAATTTAAAGCCACAAAATAACTATTAAATATTTTAATTCTGATTAGAGACCTTTGATCTGCTCTAGATGAAGCAGGCACTGCCAGCAGAGCTTTTAGTGCCTTTCTTGTCAGGTTTTAGCAGAGCTGAAGGAGTGGCCTAGGCTTGGCTTTGCACATTTGCTTTCAGCTGTGTCCCTGCCGTGGTCACCTGGGTGTCACCAGAGCCACCAGCTGACCTGCAGCTCCCCAGTGTGATCCCAGCAGTGCCCTGGCTGCAGAACAGTTTGTTCAGCCTCTCCAGGAGGGTGGGAATGGCAGCAGGGAAGCAAAAGGGGAAATGGGTCATGGCCAAGGAGATGCCACAGCAGATGCCACCCGTTGCAGGGCTGGTGGCCACCCCATCCCCCGGGCTGGCCCCCCTGCTCTGCCAGGCCCAGCAAATCCCTGCCCTGCTCCTGAGGACAGCCAGGGAAGCGTGGCAGTGAGGGATGAGGGAAGGGGAGACTCGTGGGCCATGGGGCTGGGGCAGCAGGGCAGGGGACACCGAGCCCAGAGCTCTGTCACCAGAGCTGTGCTGTGCACAGCAGAGCCCAGCAAAGCTCAGCTCTGCTCTCCTGGGCTCACCCAGAGCCCCAGGATATTCCCACGGGCTGCTCTCCCCTGCTCCTCATCCCAGGAACCATCCACGCTGCAATTGCGCCAATTAACACCCGCACTAACGAGGCCCCGTGCAACCCAGAACAGAGACATTGCCTGAAACAAGAATTTCTGCAGATTTAATATTTCCAGGAAGGTTAAAGAGATGTGGGGCAGAGCAAATCCTCACTCGTGGTTTTCCCTGGGATGGGAGAGGCGGATGAGTGAGCTCAGAGGTGGAGCAGACAGCTCCAGTCACACAGAATTCCTTCTGCCTCAGCAGAGCACACTAAGAAGGGCTGACTGATTTTTTTCCCATTCAGGCACTTAAGCAAATAAAAAGCGTGAGCTAATTAAATCTTAATGGGATTTATGCTCTGAGCCATATAGAGAATCCTGGGGGGAAAAAACCCTCTCCCATTTCTTGTCACAGTAAGGTCCCTGCTATAGGAAAAGCTTTTCCTGGTGCTCTGACCTAGAGTGATGCAAATTGCATTTTAATTAAAAGGATCCTCTGCAACTCTTCTGTCAAATCAAACCCTAAGGGTTGGGTTTGGGTGTTTTAAAAAACCCTCTCTGCCAATATTGGGGTTTTATCGTTGCTTTCATACAAAGCCAGATGTTCAAGAAAATAAAAGGTCCAGATGGAGCTGGGATTCAGTGAAAAGGTGTAGCCAAGCACACATCTGACCTGAATATTCCTCACGACAAAAACAAATTGTCATGGAAGGACAAAGTTTTAGTTGACTGCAGAATAACAACTGCAACATTCAGGAGAGCTGAATCTTGAATAAGAGCTATAGAGGAGCACAGGATAATGGCAGACAGCAAAAAAAAAAAAAAAAGGAAAAAAAAAAAAAAAAGAAAAAAAGAGAATACCACCAAAAAAATTAGATCAATCTTGGGTGCATTAGGCCAGCGCTGTTTCGTTGTTGTTTTCTGTGTCAGTTTGCTGCTTGTTTATTTAAAACATTAAGTATATTTAAAAAGAGCTTTGCAGAGCCTTTCCTCCCTTTAATAAATTAAACAGCCTTTAAAAATTTAGTGGTTCTTTCAAATGGAAGCTGCTTGTTGCTATTGTTACTGCCAGCAGCTCTGATTTCAGGTGACATGGACCTCTCAGAGTCAGGGCATCAAAAATTCAGGCTGAGGTGGAGCCTCTGCCTTCTGTGATTGCCTGGAATCCTCCTGGCAGAATGAATTCCTCTCTGGAAGAATAAATGAGGTCACCCCACCCTGCCCAAGCACAAAGCCACCCTCTTCCTGCCCTAAATCCTCTGCTTTCCTAGAGAGAAGAAAGAACCGAGTGCCAAATTTCCTGGACCACATCAAAGGCTTTTCTTGGCATCCTTCTCCTTGCTGTGGAGGATCCCCCTGGAGCTCCTGGGATGTGGGGACAGAGGGCACAGCTCTGCCCCTGTACTGACACCAAAAGTGCCACTTGCACAGGGTTAAGTGCAATTTTTAGAACCTCCTTCTTCACAAATCACCCCTGAGCTCTGTTTTCATGGCAGAGACTTTCCCCAGTATCAGAGCCTGGATCCCAGCTGGGTCACTAAATCACTCCTGGAGCTTCCAGCTTGGCTCTTCAGAGGTGAAATCCTCTAAAAGAGACTCAAGCTGCTTCTTTAAACCTGGTTATTAAGATTTGCATGAATTGTACCTCACCCATCAGTGCCCACTGAGTCAGCCCCTCAAATCTTTTTGGTGCAGATATATCTCCACGTGGTTTTTGACTCTCTGGCTTGGATTGCTACTCTGTTCCTATCTCTGCTGAAGGAAAATCGGGATGGATGAGGAAAAAGAACACATTTCACTGGATAATGAGCAGTAAAGGGACAGGGGGTCGATGTGATGGGTGGAACATGGCTGGGTTGTCTCCACAGTGGCAAAGTGTGTGGACACAAGTTGGACAGGCAAAACAGAGCAGCAAGAGACAGGAAGAACATATTACCCCATGAAACTCCTAGAGAGAGATTCCAGCGAGGAGAAGACAAAGAAAGAGCAGAGTCAATGACAAACAGAAACATCAGAGAGCTCCCCCAGCCCCTGGCCCACTCCCACCAACTCCACAGGACAAACCAGAGGGAAGGGAAAGAAATCCCACATTCCCTGCTGGACCAGCCCTTCCAAAAAACACCTCCACATCTCTCTTCTCTCCACTATTTGTGGTTTTTTTCAAGAGCATCATGAAATTCTGGGCATCCTGAAATTTTTCCAGGCTAAATCTTTGCTGCTATCCCTCAGCTCTTCCTCCCAAGTACATTTTGCACCTGGGGCTGAGAGATTTTGGTGACAAGTTTCCACGGGTTTTTTGTGTGCTTCCATTTCCCTAAGGACTCAAACGTGTCTGGATGTTTGTGGCATGTTTATCTCCAGAAAAAGAAAGGGATTTCTCTTTGAAATGCTTTGCTAAATGGAAAACATTAGTTTATTATTATCATCAGATTATTGTTCCCAGCATCACTCCAGGGGTGTTGTTTGAAATGTACTTTTTCTTTTTTCTAACCATAGAGCTGCTTCTAAAGAGCTGCAGGCAGAAAGAAAACCCAGAGCTGCTTTGAGAGCTGGATTTTATCAGTCTTGTACCAGTGACTGATACCATCTCAAATGCTTAAATGAACACAGGCTGCTGCAATATTCCAGATGGGGGCGTTTCAGGGAGCTCTGCTATTCCCAGGTTTTTAGGGTTGGGTTCATTCAGCAAGAAGTTGGTTCACATCACCTTCAGGGCAGTGAGGAGGCCAAAACCACGAATTAAATCCCCCCTTGCACGTGACAGTGGTGGGTTTTGCAAGCAAAGTGGTGACACCACATTAAATCCCATTTTCAGTGACACCGAGGAGGGTGACAGGGCTGTAGGATTTGCTGGAAAAATCCAACTGATTGAACAACAAAGAGTCTCCAGAAGTTCCTTGTTGGGATTATCAACACTCAGTGTGTCCATCTGGTTTAACCAAACCAGGAGCTGGGCCTAAGTCACGGCTGTGCCCTGTCAGGATTGAGAACTGGGAGAGGGAAAAGCCATTTCCTAGGAATGGCTGAATTTCCAGGGAGGCTGCAGGCATTCCCTGCCTTGGATGCTGCCTGCAGGAACAGGGGAGCAGGGCTTACAGAAAGCACGGAAATCACAGAAGAAATTCAAATTTCCATGAGTCTCATAAATAAGCTTGTCTGACTTTAATCTGGGAGACAGTAACTAGGCAGGGTTTATGCAGTCCCTGGCTGTAAAACCCTGCTCAATACTCACTCACAGTGGAAAATAAAAGCAGCTTGGGGCACCTATTATAAAGCACAGGCAGGGGATGTAGAAGTAATTTATTTAGAGGCTGATGAGGTGCTGTTAGATATTCATGGCCCGACATCAGCAACAGAAGAAAACCTGAGCATGAAAAGCCTCGGAAAGATTAAAAATTATTCATTTTAATGCATAACTCAAGCAAGGAAAATCTCTCTCAAAAGAAAATCGTGTTCAAAGAGAAGATGTTTTAAAGGCAGAGCCTGAGGTTTGTTCTCACAGCACAGGTTGCTGCTCTGAAAGGCTCCCAAAATTTCCCTTCTCCCATCAGGCTTGGAAGTTTGAATTCTTGATGGAAAAAGGAAATTCTCATGGAACCCCAGACTCTGGGTTATGTTGTCTTTTGTGATTATTTCACTTCTCTACCTCTCTTCAATTCAGAGGAGCTTTGGTAAATTCTAATGTTGCTACATGGCTTTTCTAAGTCAAATTTGTGATTAATTCAGTCTGGCTTAAGTCAGTCTAGGTCTGAAAGATGTTCCACAGATCTATTTCATGTGCAGGGAAATAACACCCCACACAAATTTAGTCAAGCTTAAAAAGCAGCCTGGTTTTGGATATTAAATTTTAGATATTTATTTTATTTTGGATATTAAATTTTCATTAAGACAATTTTGCTTAGGACAGAGCTGTCAGCTCCTCCAAAAATCTGACTTTTAATGAGGGACAAAATGTTTAAAGAGGGGAGGGCAGCATCCCTTTGAAAACATTATGTTGGATATGATTTTCTCCAAGACCTAACTGATTTGGTGAAGGATCAGGCACAGCCCAGATTTCAATATCCCCAAAAATCACACCTAAAATATCACTCCTGCCCATCCACTTCTTGGCCAATTTAACTTCGAGGGTTTATTTGCATTCAACATTTGCACTGAAGAAAAGCAGATCTAAACCACAAATCTCACAGCCTCGATGTGACAGGAATTTTGACAGCACAGAAAAAAGAAAAATTGCTGAGGAACTTTTTCCCAGAAAGGCAACACTTCGTTCATTTTTTTTTTTTTTTTATTTTTTTGTGCAGAGTTGAGGGAGGAGCAGGGATTTACCTGTGTTAAATAAATTTCCAAAGCAGCCCAGCCACGCTCCGCGGCTCCCTGACAAAGGTGGATGCTTTTCTCATTAGCGAGTGAAACGCTGCTAATTCTCATTAGCAAGCGAAACAATTTCCTCTCCTCTAATCATCTGTCTCCAAACCCGTGAGTGCGGGCTGCTGAACATTCCCCTAATTGCTCGGGGCTAATTTAGCACAAGATTAAAGTGCTCATGTCCCGCTGCCTGTTTCCAGGTCTCTCCTATTGTTTCTCAGCAAAGGATTTGCAAACAACAATCCGAGTGGAAAATTTCTCTCCATTCTCCAGCTCGGCTCCTGAAGGTTGGAAGGACCTGCACTGGTCTTTGTCTGGTTGTCTTCAAGAAAAAAGGCTCAAACGAGAAGCTAATCTTAATTTTTAAACTTATTTCTTCTATTCTCTCTATTGTTTGTTGCTCAAAATCCTCCCGACATGAAAGAAGAACGTGGGTATTATTTAAAGGTATAAATACAGAGCTGGGTTTGAGGCAGGGAGCACTAAAAGTAAAATTCAGGAAATACAGAGAGAGGAGAGAAAAGGACAGAAATAGCAAAGGTTTGTGAACGAGAAATACCCACAACCCTGGAAATAAGGGTTTGCCAAGAGTTCATGGAGCCATCAGCTGATTTCTTGAACTGTTTTTTTCAAAATGAGAGCAATTCTCACAACCACTGACTGGAGGCTGCCACGAAGTGTGACACGAGTTCCTGAAAAGAACTTGGCCAGAGAGTCACAACAATCTTGGCTGCGTGTTCGAGTGAGCAGTGAATGGGCTCAGCCTAAAGCTGCGAGCATTTAGAGATTCCAGGACACAAAATTGTTTTTTTCCTTTTCTTCCCACCCCTGCCCGCTAGTTAGGAGAGGAGAAAGGGCAGGGACTGAGCATTTCACTGAGAAACGGAGCCACGACCATTGCACAAGCACTGTCCCTGTGCCAGGACCCTGTCCCCACTCTGAAATTTATTCCCTGGGATTTGGGAGGAGAAGGAAAATGAACTTACGAGAAGGCAAAAGCCACCAAGGCCCCACTGACCACAATGAAGTCCAGGATATTCCACAGGTCACGGAAATAGGAGCCAGGGTGGAGCAGCAGCCCCAAGTCAATCATCTGCAGAGAAAACCCAGGAAAAGGAAGAGTTTTAATAAAACATGGCCCAAAGGCACCCTGCCAAAGGGCAGGAGAAGGTTCTGCATCAAAGGACCCTTCACAAACTGCTGAGATACTCGGCCAAGCTGCTCCTCTCTAACAGGCAGGAAATCTCTCAGAAATGGAGCTCAAATCAATAAACCACAACCAAAAGCTGTAGAAACGAGAGCTCTCACTGCTCCCTGGGATTTTTTTGCACACACATGCATTAATGCTGGTTTTATCCTGCATCTCTTTTGCACCTTGCTCTGACAGGAAAGCCCAACTCCTGCCTTACTCCAGCAATGAATCCTGACTTTATGGAATTGCTCTCTGGGAAGTTACTGCCCCACAGTCCTGGCTAAACCTGTCACCCTGCTAAGTAAAAAGATAATTCTCAGCTTTTTGAAACGTGCCAAACCAAGAGTCAGCTGTTATTAATATTCCTGCTCAGTGCCAGAGGAAAAGGGAAGAATCAGGAGTGTCTCAGGAAGGTCTGGCAGCTCCTGCTGTCTTCCCAGTTCTTATCCTCTTACACAGCCACAGCTCCTAAAGATATCCTGATTTTCCTGCATAAAATATGAGATTAAGGAAGGCAGGAGAGCTGCTGCCTCATTGTGAGAGCTGTTCCAAGTTAGAGCTCTCCATCCTTCCCACCTCTGTCCTGCCCCACCCTTTCTCCAGCTTCTCACAATTGAATCTGAAAGAGGAGGTGAATCTCTGCTTGGAGAAGTTCTTACCTTGATCACCATCTCAAAGGTGAAGACTCCTGTAAATATATAATCCAGGTATTTCAGAGCCTAAGTGGGAAAGGGGAAATGTGTGTTAGGAAAAGCTACACACTGAAAAAACCTGCACATGAGCAAGGAGTAAAATATCTAACCCAGCAGTGTCTGTCTGCTGGCACGGACAAAAATCAGCTGGATGGAGGGTCTCAGATAATTTGGGCACAAACCTGAATAATCTGATTTAAAGCAGCATTTTCCCACTCCTTGCCCCACTGCACCTGCATTTCTGGCAGGTTTCCCAAGGCAAAAGGGGTATTTCAAAATGAAATGTTTGAACATCCTTTCCTCAGGAGTTTATCCTGCAGCCTTTCCCAGTGCAGAATGGGGAGCCAGCTTTGCAGCTCCTCCAGCAGAGCCACAGCAGCCACACAAGCCTCGATTTCCAAACTCAGATATGGTTGAAGCAGCAGAAGGGGACAGGAATTTGAGCATTTTGATAGTGAAACAAAGATAATTGGAGTGTGTGTAGTGGTTTTGGTTCACGAATTTGAAATTTTCTTAGAAAGAAGGTAAAATAGGCTTAACTTTAAATGGTACAAAGAGAAAATTTATTACTAGAAATTAGAAGGAAAAAAGATTTAGAATAAAACTTTAGACTACTTTTTTTTTTCTTTACACACTTTTTTTTTTCTACGCTGAAAATGCATAGAAAACAATTCAGTCCATTTATCATTTTTAAAATAGTTTTTCACTAATTTACTTGGGAGAGGAGACTTCATTTTTTTGTCCATGGAAATTTTTCTACAAGAAACAATTTTGTTGTGGCTTTGATGTTATACTGATCAGCTGCCCAGGAGAATGGAAATTCGATTACTATGTAAAAAAATTCTTTAACTAACAGGTTTTTTTTATAACTATGATTGAGAACTATATCAATTTATGAGGCACACTTTAAGGATTATAATAGTTTAAACAAAAGTTCACTTTATCTTTGAAAACAGGTTTTTTTTTTTTTTCTTTTTCTTATTTCTTGGAGAGCAGCAGGGATGTTCTTATTATTTAAACTTAGGGGATTATAGTAGGACCCACAGGTGGTCTGTGGGCTAGAGAGGGTTAATGAATGAAGTTTGTTTTGAGAATTATTCTCTGACCAAGGCCATTGGCCTGGGGATCAAGAAGAGAAGAAGAAGAAGATAAGCAAGAAGAAACCTGCAGCTGGGAGAAGTATTTTTAGGAAAGTTTTGTGGAAAACAGACGTGTAGATGTTTTTACACCAATGATCATTATATTGATTTATTGTAAGCAATGAAGAAAGTGTAAACTGTGTAGAGGGTATAAAGACAGGGTGCTGTTGTAATAAACTGATATTTGTCCTCTGAAGTGTAGAGTGTCTATTTGTGTGTCACACCCGCCCCTACAGCGACAGGGGGCCACAGTAATTTTAATATCTGATTACTTTACTGCTTCTGCTCATATCTACAGTTAGAACAGTCATATGTACCTTATAATATTTTCTGTGTTACAGGGAAAGGTGTCCTGGCAGGTACAAGGGACTCTGCCCAGGTAAAGATTTCAGGACACCTTTCCAATCCAGCAGAGTGAGTTAGCAGAGCCAGCTGTGAATTCTGCCCTGCCAGCACAGGGCAGGGTTATCCTGCAGGGATGGGAGCTCACACAGCCTGTGCTGGGAGGAGAAAAGCACCCGAACTGTGGGGATTTGGGGTGGCACTCACATCATTCCGGGGAGACTCAGCCTGGACAGGATCCTCTGCAGCCAGGGCGATGCTGCTGAGGGCGATGACGATCAGGATCACCATCTCAAAGTAGCGCAGGTTGACGATGTAGTGGAACAGGCGCCGGATCCTGCGGGGACACGAGCACAGGGAGGGGTGACACTGAGGGGGGGGAGCTGGCACCAACCCAGCAGGAGCAGCACCTCTGGGCTCCTGCTGGAATAATGGGAGGAAAAGTGAAAAACAGCCTTTGAATTCCAGTTTGCAGCAGATCCGTGGTGAGTTAAATAAGGGGGTTCAACATCTCTGCACTGCTCTCTACAAAGCAACAACATGCATTCATCTCTTTATCTCTTTATCTATTTATTGCTCTATCTATTTATCTCTCTACCCATCTGTCAAAAGAGCACTGAGAGCTTTCAAGCATCCACACTCAATTCTACAAATTCTGTTTATGGCTCTCCCCTGTCCTTCTCCCTCTGAACTGCCAGGTTAACGCCCTGTGAGTTCAAACCAAGGTTTGAAATCCTTTTAATGTCAACTAATCCCTTTAAAATGTTGATACTCAGCTGAATCTGCATTTGTGGCTCTCTGCCTGCACTTTACTCCAACTCACCCTTTACAGCACAAACACTTTGCAGGAATAGATTTGATTACTTCCACCTAATCTTTTTATTGACAAATTGTGTCGCAGGAAAGTGGAAAATGCTCCCATTTCTAAGCAATCCAAAACTCCTCACAAATTGCAGCTAATAATTCCTTCTGACCACAATTCCCAAATCCTGAACTGCACACAGAGCTCTGCCTTTGCACCACATTTGTCAGCTGAATAAAGGACTTAGCCCAAGAATCAAATTATAGATTTAACTCACCAAGAACTTTGTTATCTGAGAATGTATTTCAGCTCCTCTATCCTATTTTCTCTTAAGCAAATATCTGAACAGTGAGAATTAAAGTCTATTTTTCACATCTACTTACATTCTCCTTTTCTTTGGCTTGCTAATGGATTCAGAGTGGAAAAGAGCTACAAATACCAAGGAAGCAAATTTGATAGAAAATAACCTGGAGGAAAGTGCTTTTGTGGACCCCTTAACTGTGGATTTCAATCTGCCAGGAGAAGATGATCATCTCCGTGCTCCCAGAAGCCACAGAAGTGAAAGGCAACGTTTCCAGGAACATTTGTAGCCATAATTCCTGCATCAAACTCAATTCATCAAAGCAGTAACAAGCCCCTATTTTTAGCTCCTCATCATTCATAACCAGCAGTGAGATGTGGGAGCATTTGTGAACCGCCAGCAGGGCTTGAGAAATCACAGCCCTGTGTGCTCTAAGAGGGTGGTGGCACTTGGGAGAAAAGGGAATTTATTTCTGCTTCCCTGAACTGTTTTCCCCTCTGGCAGCACCTGGGTCGTGGATCCCCAGCAGGGCTTGGAAGGAGATGGCAGCACTGGAGTGGGGAGAAGCTCTGAGCCCAGAAGGAGCTCCCTGGAGGAGTTACCAGCAGCCAGAACAGCTGGGGGCACACAGCTGGCTCTGCACCTTGCCCAGAGGAGGAAAAACAAGCTGCTGACATTCCTGCAGTTTGGCCTTTGTCTTGTTATTCCCCCTTGGCTTGCTTGTAACACGGTTTTTTTTCTCACAGTGAACTTTGTGTTTCCCATGGTCTTTCAGCACAGCTTTTTTTTTCTGGGGGGAAGTGTAAGCTGGAGGAAGCTGAAACAACAAAGCAACTGAAAGAACCCCCAGATCCTGGGGTCCGAACTGGGATGAGGGGAGAGAAAAGAAGCAGCCATAAGAAACAAGGAAATTTTGCTGCTTCTCTGCCAGCCCAGCCCTCAGCTCAGAGCCCCTGGGCTCAGCACCTCTCACTCCCCACCCGGCCATGCTGCCTTGGCAGATCTTTCCCAGCTCATTTTTGGTGGTCACTTCACAGCAAAATGACCAAATATTAGGGAAATACCATTTCCTTTTCCATCCAGACAGAGACCAAGCTCCATAATCCTAATTTGGCTCCCCAGGTCATGATCCCAAGGCTGCCAGAGCTCCAGGAGTGTTTGGATAACCTGGGATACCCAGGGTGGCATTGTTGGGGTGTCTGTGCAGGGCCAGGAGCCAAATCAATGATCCTGGTGGGTCCCTCCCAGCTCAGGAGATTCTGGGATTCTGGGATGCTGTTCAGCCTGCCCAGGGTCCAGGGGTGCTTCCACCACAGGGGCTTTTTGGATGTCAAATGTGAGAACTCAGAGCCTGTTTTGTTCCATGACTGCACAGGGTGTCACAGTCCTCAGCAGCAGCAGCAGGAGAACTCATCCTTCTCTTCAATCCAGCTGCCAAAGAAGGGCCTGACTTCCCCTTTGGTATCTGGACAGGGAGAAATTCTGAGATGTACAAGTTTACCTGAGGCAGAGAGAAACCTCTGCTCCAAGGGGATCTCCACAAGTTCCAAACACCCTTTCTTAAAATGCTTAAAATGCTTAAAATGACTCACAGTCCTTCATGCCACAATAATTCCAACTCCTCTCCCTGTTGGTGCTGCAGCCCTCCAGAGGAGCAGATTCAGAATTTCCAGGCTTTGAATCCAAAGCTCCCCAGGAGGCAGCGTTGCCTGAAGGGGAAGAAATGCTCCAATCCCAGCAGATCCCACAGGCTGCACTCCCAGCAAATAAAAAATATTCAGGTTTCCCCAGAAGTTCAAAGTTTGCAGTGATGCAAAACAACTTTATGGAAAGAACAGGAATTCCAGCTGAGGAACCTGCAGGAATTTGCTGGTATCCAAATAGTCCTCAACCTGTTATTCCTGATAAAATCTTTTCCCAACAGAACCTGTGCTCCCACTTTTTGGGATCTACATCAGCAGTGTCTGCCTAAAGCATTTTCTTTTCCTTGTGCTGCTAATTTATGCCTCCAGGAAAACCAACAGAACAGCATCTGGCCCACAGAAATAAGCTTTTATTTCATGTCCCAATGTGTTTTCAGAGATGAAAATCCCACTCAGCTAGTGAAGCACCTGGAAGCCCTGACTGGTGTTATAGGAACTTACGGGTTTGTGGGGCTGAGGATGAACATGGAACTGTAAGGCAGGATCGGTTTGGGCCCATTTTTCGTCAAGTCATCGACGTCTTTCTTCTCCTCTGTTTTGTTTTCAAACTCCACGTTGTTCACTGGAAATGGGAATTCAGGGAGAACACAAAGGAGAGGGTTAAAAATGGATCTGCAGCCTTCCTGCTGCCTGGAACAGCTGGAAAGGCAAACAGTGCAGCTGGGAGAGCAAAGAGCCTTCGGAAGTGCTGATTAAATGGGATGAACAATCACTGCATCATTAGCAGCAGTGAGGCAGCTCTGCCCCTCCACTGCTGATGAGCCACGGAGCAGGAACAGCCAGGAAATGGAACCATGAGCTGATTTATCCCAGAGCTGCCCAAGTGGGGCTGCAAATCCCATCCCAGAGAGAAGAAATTCTCAGTGAGAAGGATCAGCTCGGGATCCTTGAAAGAAAATTAAAAGGAAGTCTGACCAGCCTTCATTGTTTTTCAGTGAGCAGGAGCACAACTGGATTTGGAACACATAAAAGAGCAGATTCATGGATGAGGTTTAATGATCTGGGGGCTGAGACTGCTGATCTTCCCAGAAATAGGAAAAGAGACCTGGGAAGGGGTTCCTGGACGTCCCCAAAGCTGTGCCTGCATCCTGCACCTCGGTTTGGTCAGAGCTCCCCAAGGGGAAACGTGTGCAGCTCCATCCTGCAGCAGGTTTTGGGATCTCCTTCCCAACCTCCCTCCCAAAGGCTGGAAATTCTCCAATTCTCATCCTGACTTCACTTGCAGGGGGTTTATGGGATAATTTACTGAAGATAATTTCCCATCTATGAACTGGGTAACATTTCATGCTGCAAATTCTCTTCTTAGACACGTATAAAAGCTCTTCCATTAATTCCCAGGACCTGAATTCCAACAACCCCACCCTTTGGAATGTGTTCAGTGCAGGGCTGTTATTACTTTTTATCTTATTTTGCAAGAAAATGACATTTCATTGTGTTTGAGTGACATATTCAATAAGCTCCTTATTGGATCTCCAGTCAGATCCAGAGAAAATGACCAGGAAAGGGAAAGGCTGATAAATTGTGATTGACAGGAAGTCAGCATTGCAATATAGGAAAATTACCATTGAAGAGGGAAAAAAAAGGAGAAAGAAGAAGGAAAAAAATTAAAAAAAAAAAAAAAAGAAAAGATAAATCTTGTGGCTGAGAACAGAGTGAAAAAGCACAAAGACCCTGCCAGATCTTGGCTGTGCCTCTTGGAAAGCAGAGTCCTGACAGCCTGAAGTTTAACGTGGACCTCTTGGATTTCACACCAGGATTCTCCTCAGCTCTCCAGATTTCTCCAGGCTGTTCCCACCCAGGGGTCAGCCCCAAGGTGGTGGGATCAGGCTGGTGGTGGCTGGCCACAAGGATCTTGGGACCACCTGTAAATCTGTGCTGAGAGCTCTGGAGAAGGACAGGGAGGGTGGATGTGCTCCAGCTGTGATGCAGAGGACTGTACAGAACTCTGGAATGTCCCAGGATCCCCAAGCAGCAGCATCACACATGGGTGTTGCTTTCCCTGCTCCTTCACCTTTCCCCTACACAAAAGGTGTGGCCTGGCTGAGCCACCTCCAGGGAATCTCAGGTGTTTCCCAGAGCCACCAGGTACCCAGGAACCTTTGCTGAGCTCCTGCAGTCTGAGTGGCAATTACAGATCCTCTGTCTCCAGGTTCCCTGTCTGCCTCTCTCGGGGATGGCAGCGCCCAGGAGAGCCCCCATCACTCCCTGGAAATTTCCATTTCCTGCCAATCCCACAGCAGCAAAAGCAGGGGACAGAGGCACTCACTTGGAATGACAGTGGTGTCCCCTGGAGGGGCAGTGATGGTGACAGGGATGTTCACAGTGGTGGTTTTGTCCAGCGGGGGCTGAATCATCCTCGTCACATTCTTCTGGTTGTCAGCATCCTCCGGCTGCTCGGGCACCTTCTGCAGGTAAGTGCTGGGCAGGGTGTGCACAGGGACACTCCCAGGGCCACTGCCACTGCCACTGGCCTCCAGCTCACACTGGTTCTCCCTGGGGAAAAGCAGCATTTGTTCAAGATGGCCCGGGAAAGGTTCAGAGAACACATCCCTGACGCTGCACCTCGTGCTGGGTTTGTTTCAGAAATCCTTTGCAGGACAACTTCTGACAGCAAAATTTAGGATCTTTTTCTCTCAGATCTCCTAAGCCAAACCCCAATCCCAGCATTAGGAGGGGACTGTGGCACTGGACATCCCTGGGGTCACTTTAATGATGCTCCCAAGGCAGGACCATGTGGCCCTTGCATGCAGCAGTGCCATGAGCCAGTCCCCAGAGCAGCTGCTGGATGAATCCTCACATGCTGCTCCCTAATGCTCTCCCCAGGCCTTATTTAAATGTGGTGATTCTCTTTCCCAGCTTGGAACCGTTCTGGATCGTGGCTGTCAGCAGCTAAATGGCTCCTGCTCCCCTCTGCAGCAGCAGCTCTGCTCCAGTGAAGAGGAAAGTGAGCCCGTGCACATGAGCACGCTGAACAGCAGGCAGAGTGTTTGGAAATTCAGCTGAAAGGAAGATAATTTAGACAGGAAAATTATTATCTCAGTGCCACTCACGGCTCTCCACGGTGACATGAACTCTGTTCTAAAGAATCCCAGTGCAATTTCTTTTCCATCAGACTAATAAAGCTGAAAAGGCAATCTATCCTTCTTTATTAACTACTCCAAATGCTTCACCAGGGCTGTTTTTCTCACTTGACTTACATAAGAATTAAAGCAAATGGGGGCCATCGTTGCTCTTAATGGAAGAGGCCATGTGCTGGAACAACTGGTGGTGCAGCTGAAGGCTCCCCATTAAAAATGAAAATCAAAGGGCTGTAAGCAAGGCAGGCTGAAATTTAAAAAGATGTCCCTCAGGAGCTTCCTTCAGAAGCTGGGAAATTCTCTGCTCCACTTGGTGTCCTACAGGGTCTGTTGGTATTTACAGCAAGGATAATTTCCTGCCTTAAACCTGAGCTGTTTTATGAACCAAAATCGTCTCTGGGAGCCTCCGATTGAGGCAAAAGAGAGCTGCAGGTTGTGGTGGGAGCTGGTGTGGGGACAGAGACAGCAGGGAACGCCACGGGGGAGGCCGAGACGGGATTTTCTGAAACACATCTGGGGCTTTGTGAGCCCCGAACCGACCCGGGCAGGGTCTGGCATCACTCACTCACTTGGGCTGGTGATTCCGGTGCTCCTTCTCGCCAGCCTCGCCCTCCTTGTCGGCGCCGTCCTTCTCCACGGACTCGTAGGCGGACAGTGCCCTGTTCCGGAGCCGGTGTCTCCGGTGGGGCTCCTCGGCACTGTCCCCCCTGGCGGGTTCGCCGTCCCTGTTGGCAGAGCGGGGCACGGCGCGGTGCCGGGCTCGCCGCTCGCCGCGGGCTCCGTTGGCGGTGCCGTTGCCCTCCTTGCCCGGCCGGTCGGACGAGTGCCGGTGGCTGCGGTGCCTGCGGTGCTCCTTGTCGGCGCCTTCCTCCACCGAGCCCCGCCGGTGGTGCCTCTTACCCCCTTCCTGCCCCCTGTTTCGGTCGCTTTTCCCTTCCTTGCTGCCGCCTTCCACCTCCTTGCTGCGGCTGCGGTGTTGCCTGTGCCTCTCCTCCTTGTTGCCCGCCCCGGTGTCGCCGCTCTCATCCTTGGCCACGTCTCCCTTCTCCTGCTCGCCCAGCTTCTCCTTCTCCCGATGCCGGTGGTGCTTCCTGGGCGCTTCTGCCCCATCGCTGGAGGTGGGTTTGGGATGCTCCACCACCTCCTGGACATCCACGGGGCTCAGCTTGGTGATGTTGTTCCTGCCCTCGCCGCGGGGCTCCACCACCAGCGGCCGGTCCAGGTGTGTTTTCATGTCGGGTCGGATGTGCAGGGTGGTGGCGTAGCGGACCCGCTCCTCGGGGTCCAGCTCGTTGTACAGCGCCTCGCAGCTGGCTCGGAAGTTGTGCATCCGGATCTGGCTCGTCCTCTGCTCCCAAACCGACTTGGATTTGGAGGAGTTCTGCTGCTTGCTAAGGGAGAAATGGGAGAAGTCAGCACCCGACTTAGCGCCAATTCCCTAAAACCAACCAAAAAAAAAGAGGGAATTTTCAGCTGAGGTGGGGAATTAGAGGGTCGAACCAAAGGAGTAACAGGGATGGAGAGAGAACATGAGCAGGGAAAGCCAGCGGGATCATCCGTGTTAGTTTGCCCACACACTATGAGATCAGCCCTCTGGAAAGGAGTTATTCTGCATTTCGGAAATGTGGAAGCCTCGGGAATAGTCTGAAGGATTAAAACGTCAGCACACAAAAATCACGCACCCCACAAAGCTTCCCAAAATTAGCAGCACTTTTGTCCCCACCTGGAAGTATCTGGATGAGGAAATTAGCGGTGAGCAAGAGAAGTTAATCAGCAGGAGGAGCAGGGGAAATGAAGCCTGTCCCTGAGGATCCGAGCCTGCCACCAGCCCCTTCCCCTTCCAGCCAACCCAGGGGTTGTTTTCCAGCTGTGCTGCCCTGCCAGCTCATGGAACAGCTTTAAAACTGCTCTAAATCCACAGCATCCTTCCAGGTGAGCATGGACCATTCTCTCATCACTGGAGAATGGAAAACTGCCCTGTGCACCAGGAAAAGAGCCCAGAGAGAGGGAGAGTCACACACATCCATGAAAGATCCTGAGCTGGAAGGGACCATCCCTGGATCATCCTCACCAGGATCCCCCAGGGCAGCCCCTGTCCCTGCCCAGACCCCCCAACAATCCCAGCCTGTCCATCCCTGGCAGCGCTGTCCAAACGCTCCTGGAGCTCTGGCAGCCTCGGGGCCGTGCTCATTCCCTGGGGAGCCTGGGCAGTGCCCAGCACCCTCTGGGGGAAGAACCTTGCCCTGAGCTCCAGCCTGAGCCTGCCCTGGCCCAGCTCCAGCCGTTCCCTGGCTCCTGTCCCTGTCCCAGAGCAGAGCCTGGAGCTGCCCCTCGGGAGGAGCTGCAGCCCCGGGGAGCTCTGCCCTCAGTCTGAGCCATCCCAGTGCCCCCAGTCTGCTCCATCTGAACCATCCCAGTGCCCCCAGTCTGAACCATCCCAGTGCCCCCAGTCTGCTCCATCTGAACCATCCCAGTGCCCCCAGTCTGCTCCATCTGAGCCATCCCAGTGCCCCCAGTCTGCTCCAGCTGAACCATCCCAGTGCCCCCAGTCTGCTCCAGCTGCTCCAGTGCCCTCAGCTGCTCCTCACAGACCCCTCCAGACCCTTCCCCATCTCAGTATCCCAAGATGAAGATGGAAACACCAGGAGACACCAGCTTGTCTCTGTTACCTCTTGTGATGAGGACACCTCCTCTGGCATGGCCTGAATGCTTTGATTTTTCAGCACAGCACTTGGGTTCTCATCATTCAAAGTGACCACAAACCAACCAAACCAGTGTTTGAAGGTTGTGAAGGGAAGACTTTTCCTCCTGAAAACTGCAAGTCAAACTATGCTTTTCACTGGCTGCCAGGATAAGTTCTGGATGTAACCTCCTGGAGGCTCAGCACCCATTTTTCCTTAATGAAACTTTTTTCTAGCAAAACCAGGAAAGGCATTTTCCTCCTCCCAGCCTGCTCTGACTTCTCCTTTCCCCACACCTCAGCCTGAGCTGTGCAGCTGGAGGCAGCAGAGCCCACATGGGAGGCAAACACAATTTCCTTACGCATTTTCTGAGCTCCCCTGGCAGTGGGTGAAAGCAGCTCCTGCGTGTTCTGGTGCTGATTGGGACTGTCTGGCTCTGTCACCGTGCACAGACCCCGGGGAGGTGACATCCAGCCACGCTCATGTGGCACAGTGGGAGCTGTCAGAAGGGTTTTGTGTCACTGGGCTCTGCTGGGGAATTGCTTCTTTACAGAGGTTGCTGCTGCCTGGTGCTGATATAGAGGCAAAAATTCACTAAAAGCCCTCATCTCACCCAGGGAGATAAGAAGAAATCTCATTTAATCTCAAAATCAGAGCTGATCACCAAAATTAAGTATCTACACCCTGTTGTCAAGTTCTGGACTCATTTTCCAGCAGCTGAATCCCCCATTTGCACCATGGCAGGAGAACAAGTGTTAAAAATCACAGTTCTAAATGTAAATAATGCCAGAAGGTCCTGGAGACATGGCTGAGAGCCCTGCTCACCCCAAATCCCAAATTCAAGGGAGGGAGAGCCCCTCCAGGCTGGCACAAGGATAAACAGCCCCATCACAGTGTGCACTCAACTTTCTTTCGTTCAAAATTATGAAAAATTAAAATATTCTCACTCATCAGCAGCTTTCCTTGGTTTGAGAAGGAATGAGGAACATGCAGAGCCTCTGAATCCTTGCCCTGCCCAAGGATTTCCCATGGGAAGGCACAGGAAAAGCTCTGCACAGGCAGCAGAGGTGGAGCTGCCTGGGATGAGCACCCTGGGGTGTCCTGCACATCCTCTGCCATGGGTGGGTGCCTTGCTGTGCCACACTCCTTTAGCTCTGCTAAACCCAACTGGGATACAAATCTCTTCAAACCCAGGGCCAGGGAAAGCTCCGGGATTTTCTGTGCCTGGCTGAGCTCCTGAGCTGCCACAAACGCCTCTAGGTGTTCCTAGGGAATAATGAAAGTCCTGGGGTGGGGACCAGCCTCTGTCCTGTGCTTTGGGCAGCTGATAATCAGCCTTAATGATTAATTAGAGAAATGTCTTTGTGCTGAAACTCCCACTTCATCTGCAACCCAAGAGCAGAGGGAGGAGCACAAGCACCCCCTGCTCGCTCCTGTGCTCCACTGCCACGGGACAGGAACCAGCAGGGCTCAGTGTCCCTGCAGTGACTCCCCAAAGCAAAACACCGAGAAAAATCAGCAGGCAGCTCCCATGGACACAGCCTGACCCTCACTGCCTGTGCCGAGCCCATCCCAGCCAAAAAGGAAAGAAAATGCCCTCAGTCAGGCTGGATGTGGTGAGGAGGAAGGTTGGGATTCAGGGCTGATCCCCGAGCTGTGTCTCTGCAGGAGGGATTCTGCATTTGTGCTTCAGTTCCACCAAGGACATAAATCAGCTTTTAAATGATCACTCAGGCCTAAGTGAGAGGTGCTGCCAGGGAACTGCACCCCTGAGAAGCTGCAGGAACCAGGCAGGGCACAATCACCCCAGCGTGTTCTGCTCAGATCCCTGGGTAAAACAGGCACTGACATTCCAACCTGGAATTTCCCAGCAGCCTCAAATCAGCTGCAACCTTAACACTGACACAAGTCAGGGGGCGAGTGCCAAAACCCCAGCACAAAGCCACCCAAAGCTGCCTCTGGGCACCAGCAACTGCAGAAAGGAGCTGCAGAGGCAATGCCTGCACAGCCATTCCTCTTCCCACACGGAAAAAATACTCCAAAAAAATTTTTTAAAGGGAAAATCAGGGTATTTATGAAGCGCAGTAAAAACCCAATCAGGAAAACACAGTGCATGTGAGTATAATTCCATCTCCAGAGCTGGGAGGAGCATCCCAAATCCTGACATCCCAAAAACACCACCCAGGAGCCAGAGCCAGGGCACAGGGGCTGCTGTGGCAATGGGGACAAAGCTCCTGAGCAGGATGGGGACAGTGGGGGACAGTGCTGGGAATTCCAGAGCCAGAGCAGCAGCAGGAAGTGCCAGCTGCTGGATTTATCCAAGCCTGGTTCTCTCCAGGTCCCCACAGCCACTGGGATCGGGATTTGTGGCAGCTCCTCCTCTCCTGGGGCTCTCTGGGCACTGGGACAGCCTGGGAGCTGATTTATGGCACCCCTTAAAATAAAGCAGGGAGGAAAACGGGGAGGAAAAGGGGGAGGAAAAGGGGAGGAAAAATGAGGATTCCAGGAATGAAGAAAGGAACAAACGAACTGGGTTGGGAAATGAAACTGAGTTTTAATCTGGAAAAAAAATCAGTGGCAGGGTGCAGGAACTCAGAGATGCAGCAACAGGAGGGGTTTAGAGAAGATGGAAAAACAGCAACGGGGCAAAATTTAATTCCTTTGCTTTCCCCCTCATTTGGGGCAGAGAATTCTGCACAAATCAGGGCAAGCACAGCCCAGCTACAGCATGAGCAGGGCAGGACTTGTCTAAACTGATCAAAAAAGAGGATTTGTGATAAAAAAACATTTACTCCACAAAAAAAAACCAAAAAAAAACCCACGAAAAAACCATACAGCCAACTGCTTATCTGAACCCTGCTCAGTGCTGGCTGCTTCAAACCCTCCTGAAGCCATCAGGGAAATTGCCCTATAAATTACTCCTGACTGGCTGACATCCTCCAAACACTGCTGCTAATTCACTGCTTTCCTCCCACCCCTATTTTCAGGAATATTTGGAACTCTCTGAAGGCTCTGCTCCATCCCCAGATATCCAGGCTGGAAATGTTGAGCTGGTATCAGCTCCACTGCTTTTCCTTGGATTGAGACACCAACAAACAACTCCTGCCTGTGGCTGGAAAGAAAACCCCACAATTCAAATAAAATTCATATTAATGAATCAATGACTAATATTGGTATAATTAAAACTGCACCCACTGTGTGGTTTGTTCAAGAAAGGGAAATGTGGTTTTAATCAGATTCTAATTTTGGGGTGCTCCTTAATGATTCAAGATTTTTGTTCCCACAACCTTTGAAATCATTGCTGCACTTCATGGAAATCCTCAAAATTTTGCTGCAGTAAATAATGAATGAAAGCAGCCTATGGAAAGAGAATAATTCCATGTTAAAAATAACCACACATTACACGGTGACTGTGAAATTCTGTGTTTCAGATAAAAGAGAATTTGTTGTTAAAATGCAACAAAACCTTTCCACTCAAATCCTATTTTCTGCTCATGAACTCGGGGTTCATAAACTCCACGTTTCCATTTTCCACTTGGAAAACACAATGGGATATTTCACTTTGGGGTTGGTGTGCACAAAGCCCAATGTTTTCTCTCTCTGTGAGTTGCTAAAACTATTTTCTCTCAGCTGAACTCAGCTCTGGGGTTTAAATAAATGTGTTTTACAGTGACCCTGGAGTTGGTGCTTGGATGTTTCTGCATCTTTTT